TGAGGTAAGAGAAACGAAGGAAAATAATGTAGTGGGAATTCATTAATTCAAGAATAAGGTAATGATTACTCGAGAATTAAGTAATAATTTGACATTATGCGGTAATAATCCGGTAATAATCCGCTAAAATCAATAAAAATAATACGTTAATAATGTTTAAATAATAAACATTAAAATTTTTACGTAACACCAGATAATATAGTATAATTGGCTTGCGCCACTAACTCGCACACCTCTCACATGATCCTAAAGCGTGCGTTTAGCAGGCAATTAAAGATTTAAATCGATATTTTCTTAAGCTACGTACAATTTTATTATGACAACCTGTTTGGACAATTAAGTATATTTAGAACTCAACGTTACATGGTAGTATGTACATATACATTTTTCATATAGCTTTTTTTAAATATATCCAAGAAAAATTATCGATGACCGAATCGATAAGTTTTTGATGTCGATTGATGCCGGTATTTACAGCTGCTTTCATAAATTCTATGGCAGCTGAAAAATTATCGACATCGGCAATTTATTGATTCAAACTCGATTTGTTCATCTGAAAATTTTTTTAGCTGTCCCAGAATTTTTTAGTTAAGCCGACCTGATCGGCGAAGATCACAAATTGTTTCGGCATTTCCACCATGTGAATTATTCAATAGGATTCTGAAATAAATAGATTAGGGAGTGCAGAATGCGACTTTCTGCTTATATTTTGAAAGATATAATATATAAAAGATTTAGTTCAAGTACATCTATCTTTACATGCTATATTTTCCGGGTAGGTTTTTGGTTTCAGTATATACTGGAACTATCTACCCTGGCCACGGGGATCTGTATTTTCAACATCATTAGGCAGGAGCGCATAACACTATCACATGTGCAAGGTAACAATAACGTAATAATACCAATTAAAGTTGGAATCGGATATTCATAGCATATATTGACATGTAAACTATCCCCTTTTACATTTATAGTTAAAACATTGAATTTATAATTATACGTATGCATAATTAAGTAGTCCTTTTAGTAGATAACCTTGCTAACGTAAGATTAACATAAGGCATACACAGAATTGCATAAAGAAGTAAAAATTTAAATGCTATTATAGTGAAGAATGTACACAAAATAACAAGGAAAATAAAAAATTGTATCAGGAAAAAGATTTGAAAAGTTCGATCTGCGAACATTGGATCGATAAAAGATTATTGAGCTTAGATGATAATGATATTGTATGCATTTATTATAAAAATGAAAGACAAAAGTGACAAGAATAACAAAGAAAAAATTTTATACAAATAATTCATTTCTTTGCTGCTTAATGGAAAAAGAAAAAAATTACTATGCCTAAAATGGATAAGTATGTATGATTAAACAAGTAACATATACAGTAATTAATATGCTCAATTTAAACTTATTATTACAGATGTGCATGCTACGCTAACCTGTTAGGAGAGCGCCAACTCCTCAAACAAATATTACGTGATATATATATAAATTTTAGTATTTTCATAACAACTTAGTAACTCAAAAATTCATACAACCACAAACCTCTCTAAATGTATTCTCTAAATGCATGAACTATATAAATTCTCTCCAAATGCACATATAGATTCGATCTCGAGTATCGGTATTCATCATATAACTCAAATCGTAAAAATGCACACCCTTTAGTTCTACATAAATACTCCACGTGATCAGTAAACAGGTCACAAGTTCAATTGCTCCATATATCTATTTATAGCACAGACTTAGGGGCGCAAGAAGTTTGATCCAGGAATTTCCCTGTTACAGTTTACAAACTGATATTAGCCTTAAGCAATTTTTACACATGGTAATAATCTTTCTTAAGTTAGATTCACAATCGACTTTTCGAATGCGATTTGCAAAATATATGCATGCATTATGCCGATAAGTGGATTCAACTGGCCAGCCTGAAAAACTAATTTGTAGCCTCCCTGTGAACTCTTTAAAATAAAAAAAATGCAAGTCATGTGTCAGATCAAACGAATCTTTCATCGGTAGCTTCGCAACATTATATCTTGTGTGAATCGAGAGAGAAAGTGCTTTTTTTTTCTTTTTAGCAAAAACAATATGAAATGATAAAATGCTGGATTATAACGCAGCAATGAATAATTAATCACACATCTTTTATCTTATTGGTAATTATTTTGATTAAAGACGTAAAATCGTTACATGAATTAACGGTTTTTTATATTGCATAAAGTGAAAATTGATTAAAAAAACCCTACATACTGCAGGCATTGACATTGTTTGATATGCAAAATATGTAAATTCTGTTTGTTTCTCGTATTAAATTTAAGCGCTTGATTATGCCACAGTACAACGAGTGTGATTTTTCAGAAAAGTATTGTGTGACAAACTACTATATATGCTTATATATGCGTTATTTTTATACACCTTAAAAAAAAAAAATTGCATCAAAAAATGTATAAATAAATCATTAGTGGCTCTCGTAAAAAAACTTAATGTTCTAATGAACAAATAAAAATTCAAATATCGTACTTAAAAATTTCTTCTACAAACACGACATTAATGAATGTTTTGTCACAACATACTTGAAATAATTCCATTCTTACTTATTTTATACAGAAAGATTTTCAATAATTGAACTATTTACAAAATATTTGTATAAAGAATATAGTACATTATTCAGTTTTTTCGTTTTATCTTATCTTGGCTTCCTCTTAATTATTTATTCTCTTGGAGACATATTAAAGTTTTCTTGTAACAGTCCCTTACAAGAATTCATTATTTTAATAAGTTCTTAAAATTTAAGGGTTTGCTGGCAAGCCTTCTCTTAACGACATTAGATATATCAACAATTCCAGAGAATATACAACGAACAAAGTTTTCTCTTAATTTTGTTTACAACCGATAAAATGAATGTTTCATTTACAGAACGTTTAATGGAATTAAACAATGCTCGTGAAAGGTCACTTATCTCCGAGGAAGAGTATTGTATGTTAAGATTGAAGATATTTGATGCTTTTACATCGACCGCCCCAAATGCCCCAAAAGCCCCAAATGTATCTTATGTAACCCCACCACAACCTCAATATCCCCCACCTCAACAACAAACTCTTTCTGACAAATCACAGCAACAATTAACACCACAGCCTTCACCAGTTCTTCAACAACATGTAACTTTCAGTCAAGGCTTTAATTCTTCGCCAGCCAAGTCTCTTTCGCATAAAACGAAGATACCAGCTACACAACCAACCCATTCTTCAAATGGCTCTTTACCACTGACCCAACAATCCTCACAGTCTCCACAATTTTCACAATCTCCACAATCCCCACGATTACTTTCTCGTCAAATTAACGATACTGTTAATAATAACATTATGAATGACTCTTCAACACCGGCAAATATAATAGAAACTAATTTAGTTTCATCTACTAATCAAATATGCATTCCTAAAAGAACACGATCAAATTTGGTTTCTCCAGCTCTTCAGGAAACCAATACCAACAGTAATGAAGAATTATCAATGAAAACAGCACGAGTATTACCGACGTTTTCAGAATCTCAATATTCGTCTACTTCGAGTACTTTTATAAAATTACCATCATCACCACCATCATCAATAATAACAAGTTCAATTCCTATACTAAAGACGGCAATACGTGATTCATCGGCGTCGAAAAAGAACCCTCCTGTAAATCGATCTACTTCAATGGCTTATAATAATGAGTCTACTTCTTTATTTGATCATAATAATAGTACTAACAATTATAACGTATCGAATAATGGTGATGTGAGTAATAATATTAAAAATGAAGAAAATCAAGTTATTAACGGAAGAATTACGAATTATGAAGATTCAAATGTAATGAAACGCAATGGTGAAAATGTAAATACAAACAGTGATGAAAATGGAATGAATCACATTAACTATAGAGTAGTAAATCAAATTGATGAAAGAACTGAAATGATTCAAACAAATATGAATAGGATAAATTATATTAATAATAATATGAATGGAAATAGCGGTGAAGATGAACAACTAGTTTCAACACCCCAGACTTTTTCCCAATCTCAATCATCGCCTCAACCACAACAAAGACAAAATATAAATTCTGCTACTATATCTGCAAGACAAATTAGATCTCTTAGTCTTGGTCCTAGTTCAGTTCTATCCTCAAATGACAACGCAAATAATAATGAAGGTAATAATAATAATAATAATAATAATAACAATGGATCATCAAATTCAAATACAAATAGACTTAGAAATAGAAGTAGTCATGGCAACCTCGATTCAAGACGTTCAATGAATTTGGGAGAAGTTATGAATTCATTGAATCATGGTGGTGATGGTCTTGCTGAAACAGGTAAACGTAACATACTTAAATTTAAGCTGTTCAAAAAATCATCTAAAAAGTGATAAGATGAAGGATTTCGGGTGGTAGAGTTTTTTAAAATGTAAGCAATTTTGAGCGATTTGTGGTTGATAAAATTTGTAATGATTTTCTTTTAGTGAAGTAGCGATCTGGAAGATATTGTGATGATATTGTGATGGTGGTATTGGGATAGATAATTCATCAAATCATATATATATATATATAATTTTTTCATAAATAGAAAAAACAAATACACATAATACACACATATATACAGACAAACAACATATTAAATACAAACAACGTATTAAATACATTTAAATACGGACAGAAACATATTAAATACATTAAATACGTTTTATCCATTTGCATAAAAAAATAACATTTCGTTTATCGTTTAATATGTCATATAGATTTGTATGAACATTCTGTGCCAGAAGTTCCACCACCACCTTATTCCCCACCAGAGTCATCTCGTAAGAGTTTTTTTTTTTTAATAAAAAAAAAAAAAAATCCTGTTTAATATCTTAACATTTTGTTTTTTTTTTTAAAAACAAGTTCGATTCCATCGTCGTCGTTCGTCAACTTCATTCTTTTTAAGACCAAAAACTTCGACTGAACTTCGAAAAGAACTTTTAAAATTAACTGAAGAATCGAAGAAAGAACAAGATAAATGGAGAATCGAGGAAGCTAGATTAAGAATGCGAATAAACTCTAAACCTGAAGAAATTGAACGAGTTAAAAGAAAGATGAGAGAATCTAATGAGAAATACCGAAAAAAAATTGAAGATGTTACCGCAAAATTGAGACAGATGAATTTTAATAATGGGAATTAAGCAATAAAATTATATGGCATATTATAGAAGAGGACTTGTACATATGTGGTAGAATAGTATGAATTATCATTATTTATTTATTTATTTATTTGTTTTTTGTTATTGATATACATTGTATTTTTATTCAAATTTTTAATTTTTTATTTGATATATATATATGTATTGCTAATATGATGTAAAAACGGTTTGAAAAAATGCTCGATTCCTATATCGATGAAATTTCACCTTATTTTGAAAAATAAATGATAAACTACAGTTATATCCTCAAATAAATCGACCAAATAAAACAACCAAGATTTACAGACAAGATTCCTACATACAGCGACAACTGCGCACGGATGTTAACAAATGTTCTTCGTCCAAATTGCTGCGTCTAAGCACGTAAAATAATTTAGCTTTATGGGTGGGTTTTATCACAGTAGATATCCTCAATTAATTGCTGATACACCTGAAGAGGGATTCGATTTTTCTAATGCATTGGCATTTAACGCTTCATTCATTTCGTCAAATGCTGCAAAATGTCGTTGTTGTAATATTTTCATATCTTCAAAAACTAATAGAAATGTAATGTAAATATATGCGTATTATATGGTTAAATTTATTTTATTGCTAGTTACATTATATGTTATTATATTAAGAGCTATTATTATATTCATTTACCTTTGTCTGCATAGTTTGTATCCTTCAAATAGACTTTTTGAAGAAAATCAACCATAGCACCTGTGCTTACTGCACATTCTTCAAGCGGCAATGTATCATAGTATGAATGATCTATTTCAAATGGATTTTCTGGTGGTGGTGAAAGACTCAACGTTATCACTTCTGCAATTATATCCCATAACTTTATATCTGCATTAAAAAAAAAAAATTAAAAATAAAAAAAAAAATAAAAATTAAATATTGATTACATTATATATTTTGAAAAAATAAATTATCTTTTATTATTTATGCACCTTGAGTTTTCCACGCCGCTATAGTATCAAGTTTTAAAGGATTATCTGTTTCCAATTTTTGATCATCTTGAAGCTGAATTAATCGCTTATGGTTTGATCTTAACTTTTAAATAATTGAAAATTTATTAAATATTGTTTTTTATAACATATTTATCACGTTCTAGTACTTACCCAAACATATGGACATTTATACCTTGCATACCCAGCTATCAAGAAAACATGGTTTGCTTCTTCCTATATATTGAAATATTGAAAGGTCTTATTATACTACGTAAAAATTACGTCTTTTATATCATTATTTTTGACTTGCCTTCTCCAATTCTTCGTCTAAAGGACTTGATGGTGGTGATGTCATTTCCATAGAATCAGATCCGTTACTGAGTCTATTTTTAATAAATGTCCATTTATGAAACTTTACTAATTTGCAATAGACAATAATTTTATGAAGCTTACGTTCGCCGCGTTTTCGGTGAAAATAATGCATTACTCCTGCATAAAAAAATTTTAAAACATATAAATCGATTTATGAATCAATTAAGCATATATATATATATATAAAGATCAAATAACTTACTGAAATTTTGCAAGCGATAAAGAGTTATAATTTATTCTATCGCTTTCTTCAGTTAAATTTCGGGGTCGGCTATCAATGTAAACGCGTAATAACAGCTCTTCCCGACCTCTCACATATACTTCAAAATGTTTAAATCCCTTTTATATCGTTATTTTGATTTATAAATAAAATGTTCTAATGTTGCTAATTATATTAATAAAAATTTTAATTTTTTTTCACCTTTAAACATCCAACAGAAAGACTATCAGCCAAGAAAGCTGACAGTCGAAGAGTTTCAGACTTCGCACCTATTGGTTCTTTCTGGTTCGCAAGCATTGGAGAATAAAAGTCGCATACTGAGTATCAGGAATAAATTCAAGATTAAAAATACTATCAACACGTTTTTGGATAGATCTGATGTATAATAATGCATAATTTTTTTGATAGGTAAATAAATACGTAATGAATAATAAATTAAGGAAATGGATTTCTCAAAATCGTACTACAGTTTGTCATCAATGACTTAACAATTCTTTAAAAGCATTGTCGAATATAGATAAATAATTATTTATTACTGTATTAGATAATATGTAATATAACTGATACGTACGTAATAAATAACAGATAATATCTGATATAATTTTTTTTATTTATTACGTATAATATGAAAAATTGATATATACAGTACGTATACCAAATTAAAAATAAATTAATTAAAAATTGAAAATATAGATGCATAGCTGAGAGGCTAATAAGAAAAATCTTATTTAGAAAGAAATTGCATTTAGAAAGATGAGTTAGGCCAAGCAATAGAGAGATTTTTTATAAGCTATACATTTAGAAGCTATAAATTCTCATATTAACGATGTTGTTTTATAATCACATTGTATAAAATATTTTTAATAAAAATTTTATACCGGGCGGGTGAAAAGTAACAGGACCTTCTGTTAATACTAAATGATATATTCTGAATACCATTTTTTTAATGGCTACTTCATTATATGGTATATTGTAAATATATAGTTATAAACTTTTATTATAGGGACTTTTCACCCAACCGGTATAATTATTAATTGCAATCGTACAGAAAATATAATAATTGCATGTCATAATATTATTTATTAATTTAAATTTTGACAATAAATAAGATTTATGATTGTATATTATTAATTAATATTAGATATTGATCTTTTTTTTCGTCACTCATTTTAGCCTTTTTTATCTTATTGTTTTCAAGCTCTGACTGATATTCTGTATTTTTTCTTTTGTTACTACTCGTATTTTCTAATTTATTAGAAACATCAAATTTGATCAAATTTTTTCCTATGGTAGAAAAATGATTCATCATTATTATGCCAAAAAAGGTAATTTTTACGTGAGGGATAAAGTTATACCGGTAATTTTTTTATTTTTATTTAGTAATTAAAAAACTCATTACCATTTTTTGTCAGTAGTCCAGTTAAATTCGCTTTTTCGAAAAAGGCTTCCAAGCCGTAAATTTTACACAGTTCTTCATAAGATTTTGTATGAACTAATAATTTATATTTTGGTTCTTTCGAATGTGTTGCGTACATTTGCATTAGGGCATATTTTGTGTTCGGCCAGCTGTTGCCGACTTCCAATGCCTGTGATTAAGATACAAATAAGCATGTTTCTTAAAAAACTTCAAAAGCACAATGTTATGAAATAAAAGAAAGTATCCAACTTTTTTGATGTATGAAATAACAACATCCTCAAGTGGAAAAGTTCCTTCTTGACGAAATATCGATACATTTTCTTCAGCTGCACGAGCAATCATGATCGAACTTACATCTAAAAAAATGGTAATTAAGTCGATAATATTTACAGAAATAACAATGTCTATGTTTATATCTTACTTGACAATTCTCTTAATCTTACTATATCCGAACGTTGAAATACATCACCATTTGCAATAACTGGTATTGACTTTATATTTTCAACAATGTCACTGAAGATATCCCAATGTCCAGGGTCTCTTGGTCTCTCATCACGTGTTCTAAGTTGAAAAAATTCGTATAAAGATCTTAAAAAACATTAAACGAATAATAAATGGTCATATATGCGCACCTACAATGAACTGCGATAGCCCTGACTCCCGTAGATTCTATCATTTTACAAATTTCTATTGTTTTTTCTTTAGTATCTAGCATCCTACATATAGAGAAGTCAAAATCGGTCCATTTTTGATATAGAATAAATATAAAAACTTCAAATTTCTAACCTTATTTTACAAGTCACAGGAAGGCCACAATTTTGCACTAAGTTTATTAATATCTATAAAACGATAAAAGGTCGATAAGTAGTCGCTTTCTGAAAGATTAAAAGTACCCCGATAAGGATTATACTAACAGCCTTCAATTTATCTTGATTTGATAGCAAAGCCGCGCCCATACCACCTTGGATAGAAAACTTTTTGGGGCAACCACAATTTACGTCGATGCCTGCAACATCTTGTTTTCTAGACAATAAAAAAAGATCAATCGCTTTTTTTATAAATGAATTTCTAATCATTTCATATGTAATAAATGATTTAATAAATTCTAGAATTTATTACACTTTCAATGCCGCTTGCAGTGCGAGATCAGGATCAGCTGTTCCAATCTGAAAAATTAATTTTGATTTTTCAATCGGATGAGTTGTAAACGACACAGAATTTTTATTATCTACGTATGAAATTATCCCCGTCTTTTCTGCAAGGAAGAATTTCCAATATATTATAAATTAAGATTGATAGTTTTCTAGCCGGAAAAATTTCCGATGTTTACCGTCGAATTGCCGTTCTGAAGCAATCATTTTCTTATCTACTATTTCGGGTGAATAAACTAGATCTAAGTATATAATTAGATCATAGTATTAGTATAATTATATATTCCAAGAGTATTATATAATAAGTTTATACCTGCGCCGTATTCTAAAGCTAAAAGTCGCATCGGTAAAGTCCCGATTCTGACCTATATTATTGAAAAGAAAATGAGAATACATCAAACCTTTAGAAAGCTACGAGAACGTAAGACACACCATTGGAGCAAGAATTATCTTATTTTTATAATCTAAAGTAGTCATTATTGGAAATAAATGTTTTAGTGATCCAAAATTTCTATTGAAAATAGTTCGTAACATAGTTTAAAGTTATAAGAAAACTTTCGTCTGATTGGCTGATGTAAATCAATTGTCACTTTAGGGGGCGTCTAGCACAAATCTTACTCCATCACTTACTTTTTTGATATACCTTAAAAATAAGTAATAAAAGTTAATGAAAATTTTAGGGTGTGTTTAGGTGTATCAAAAACGTAAGTTTAGCAATCACAATGTGATTATTGAAAATTCAAATCTTTTATAACTTTGAACGAAGATATCTCGGAAACCATCAAACTAAATGTTTTTTTTATTTTGATTCTACAGGTATCTGGTATGTAGAATTAAAAAAAATTCATCGAATTTGATTAAATAATTACCATCTTTGCTCAGTTTCGAAAAATTCAAATGTCCATCAAATAAATGCAACAAGTTTTCAAAACTTTGAGCGAAACTTTTTTCTATTTTAATTTTACAAATCTATAGAATTAAAAGTTCATCGAATTTTGTTGGGTGGTTGCCGAAATATCTTCGCTCAAAATTTTGAAAAAAAAATTGAACCGTCTATCAATAACAGCTGCGGCAAAATTTTTTCAAAGCCTTGAGCAAAAATATCTCGCAACTATCTAATAATAAAATTAGATGAACTTTTTTTTTTTTGATTCTACAGGTATGTGGAGTTAAATAGAAAAAAACAAATTGAATTTGATTAGATGGTTTCCGAGACATTTTCTCAAAGGTTTGAAAAATTTTGCCGCAGCTATTATTTTGATAGGAGTTTTGAATCTTATTCAAACTTTTGAGTAAAGATATCTCGGCAACCACCCAACAAAATTCGATGAATTGTTTTATTTTAATTCTATAGATCTGTAGAAAAAAAAAGCTCACCGAATTTTGTTGAACGGTTGCTGAAGATCAAATTCGATGAATTTTTTTTATTTTAATTCTACATGTTTGTAGAATTAAAAAATGCTTTACTAGATAACAATCCTTATAACAATCAAAGTTTTATTTATTTTTCGAATGAAGACAAATTGACGCGGTATTTTATGTTAATAAATATTTACAAATTTTAAATAAAATAAAAATAAAATAAAAAAGGTTTTATAATAATTAATTTGAGCTTTATATTCACTGAATTAATGAAATAAAATGAACCATTCACTTAACATAAGAAAATTAAATAATAAATATTTATGAATTTCAAATAACTTCTTTTAAGACTAAAATTAATAAAATCAACTAAATTAATACATAATAAATGTTCATGAATAGCTTATTTTAAAATACTTAGATTATAAAATTTTCTATTTAAAAAATCAATACAAATAAAAGAAAATTAAATCGTAAATATTCATAAACTTAGATAACTTATTGACATTTTAGATACTTAGATAAATAATATTCTTGTATACCTCTAAATTAGGCCACTCCAATTTAATTTTCTGTTTAACATAACATACAGATAGGATGTATAACAGGTAGGGTTGTATAACTTACTGTAAGTTATTTTTAAATGTAAGTTACATTTTAAGTTATGTAAGTTACCATGTAAGGTAAACTATATATAATAATAATAAAAATTTCATCCTTTAATAACCTTAATGCTGGCTAAATTTATTCTGGTCGGCGTTAATACAAAGCCGGCCT